TGCGTAACGTTCATGCCAAATTTAAGTAGCATATGATTTAAGTATGATTTGGGCCGTGGAATTCGAACTGATAGAGCATTCTAATTATGCGCTTTTATTCTATTCAATTAAAAATGACTTTACATTATGAGCCGTCCCCGCTCTTCAGTTGGACTATAACGTGACTTGATAGTGTTACGTTTGTAAAATAATTGATAACGTCAAACTACTGGTGTAGATTGTTACTTTAAATTAGATACCTCAATACTCGTGTCATCATCTCAGCAGAGAATTTATTTTCTCACGCCTTTGGAGACAGTACTTCAACTCAGCCTGCATTCGTGTGCTTTCGTGTGAAGCGAAACACGCTAAGTGGAAATGAAGAAGAGAGAAAGAAATTAAGAGAGACCTCTTCAAATCGAATCAAATTGGGGGGATGGAAAATAACCTTGAAGTTCCTATTTTAAATTAACAGTGAGATTAAATTAAGTTAATCAATTAAGGGAAAAAAACTCGAGGGTTGTTTGCCTTCTCTACTAGTTAGATTCAAGAAATCTAGACAATTAACCAATAGCGATGTTTTGGTTTATTGGATTACGTAATATCCCACGAGGGCTACCTGTTGAAGGAGTGGGATGCCTTTTGGAAGACTTTCTAAGGGAAACTGGCTGATATCCACGTTACATGTAAGGGAAACCACGAAAACGCCTATGCAGCCAACCTGCTCGCCTGAAGTCAAGGCCAGGTCGAACTATTCACGTTCAACGACTTTACTGTTCGTTCAACCAGCTAACGATAAAACATAGAGAAAATTTTTATTTCTAAAAGTTTCCTCTTATTTGTGGTTCATTTATGCCCTCTGGATTTCAGGAATATAATTTTCAGTTCCTGATAATAAAACAGAATAATTGAAGAATGAAATTTTCAGGGAATCGTTTTAAAATTTAAAGTAGTCGATATTGATATGAATTATTTTTAAGATATTTTATCTTGTTTTCACGTATTAATTCAAACATCAAATCTGATTCAAAGTTTAAATAAATAAATAAAGCAAAATAAAATAAAAGACTAGTAAAATTGCATTTTGAAAAAGTGTGTTCAGAAAAGCAGGTATTATAGGAAAGAGAAGCCTTTAAAAGAGATTGGACTATTATATCAGTTACGAATGATTCTTTTGACGTAGATATTTTCGTTTTTCATTTCATTTCCTTTTGATAACTATACACAGAACCTTACTGAACTAAAATGCTCTGCCGTTAACTGTTGCATTTCCGCGAATAAAAAACTGAAATTTAAGGTTTTGGTTAAGAAGTTGTACTACACTTCAGATATTTATATCCTGTAATGTAGACGTTTTCTTTACACAACACGAAAATTTATTCATGAGAACAGAAAACTTAACATCGTATGAAAAGGAATGTACATAAAAGTCTATAAAAACTCATTTTAAATTAAAAAAAATACATTGACTTCTTGGTTTGTGTATTTTGTTAGAGGTTAGCCATATCTCTCTGTATTATATAATTGATCAAAGGGATATCTAACCCTTCCTTTACCCTCTGCACCTACAGAATAACATTAAGGCTAGACCTTGAGCAATATTTTGTCTGCAACGAGGAAGTTCCAATTTGCAGTTTGATGGGCTGCACTTAAGGGATCAAGGGCAGCGAGTGTCCTTTCACCTTTATGAATTCTGCGTCGGTTAAAGGTGCAAATGTTGGGGTGAACTTTAAAAGCATTGGTGTCATTTACATGAGGACATTCGCCAAGATTTCAAGAATGGCATTATCTGTCTTTCAAGTTTTCCCTTTTTAAATTAATTTTATTCCAACAAAATCCTATTCAGTTTACGTCAATACAAAATACCTGACTCTAAAATTCACTGAATACATAACGGAGCTTATCTATGAAGAAAAAAACGCTTTCAAGGACTTTTAAGAAGTCTTTTATTTATTGTTTTCGGGTATTTCGAAGTAACCTTTAGTACTACTATTAGCTAAGTCTCGATGGTTTTTAAATTTTTATTAATTTCGTTAGGCTAAAATGTTACATGTGATTTTAACTTTCAAAATTGTTTGGTCTCTTTCTTGCACTACGACACATACATTACTAATATCGTCTTGCCACACATTGCCTATATTACTTAATTAATAATTCCGAATCCAAATCCCATGAAGGAATAAAAATAAAGCACTTTTGTCATAATTAATTAAGCAATCAGAAGTCCATTTGTTACAGTTTGTCGCAAATGGATGATAAAGCCGAATCTGATACCTTTTCGATAATTTACATCCAATTTAAGTACATATCATAAACTAGTTTAATTATAATCCAGTAAGCTACATCGTAAACTAACTTTCGCAGACTCTCTCAATGATTCACATCCATAATTGTAAATTCTACTTCCGCCCTTATCGCTTTATATTATTTCCGCTTTTAAACCTCCTATTTATTGGCGCATTTTAAAGAGATTATGCCATGTGTTAAATGCTTCAGAATACGTTTTGACAGATAAGCATAATAAAACGGGGAAAAGGTCTGAAAGCATACAGGTTTCAACATCGCGATAGGGTTTGCTACGTTTTTTTTCTGCTCTCTCTGAGCTCGCAGTATTAACCCTTAGGACTCCTATGTCGAGAATGTTTCGACATCGTATTTCTTACACCAACTTCTTTGTCGAGCTAGACTCGACATTATACATTGTAATTTCTAAAATAATTTTAAATATTAAATCTATTTTTTCGCATATTTTTTGTAATGTTAAATAAAGACTAAATTTATTAGTTTGACCAGTTAGCTATTTAAAATTCTTTTTAGTTGATTTACAAGTCCAGTGTACTCGACATCATATTTCTTACTCCAATCCTTTGTCGTCTAGACTCGACTTATGCATGGTATTCTTAAAAAAATTTTTTTTTTAATTTTTTGTCTATGTGAATAAAGACTAAATTGATACATTAACAAATTTATATATTTAAATCTTTTTAGTATTATTTTACCTTAGATCAAAGAGTCTTTATTGGTGTAGTCTCGAACACGCTACAAATCCTCTATAGATTTCAGTTTGAAATACTCCAAGAAGCTATAAACAATAGCGAGAATAATCGAACAATAAAATAAAACAATAGCGAGATTTTAATAAAAATATAAATGTAAGAAGCTAAGATTACATCGATCTGGTACATGGATAACACTTAATCAAATAGTTCTTCTAACCGGTTACAAATGTACTGTGCTAAAACAATAGCACATCGGAAAGATTAGTCCGTGCTATATCTCCTACGACAAGAAAATACTCCAAACAGAACAATCCTACCTCCAGTATTCCAGGTGGACATACGGTCTTCTAGCTTCGAAAAGTCAGCTCGTTGAACGTGCAGAGAATAATTTCGAACTCCCTTACCACATTCACTGAAGTATTCGTCTACGCTTTCTTGAAACAACATAGCTTCACGAGGTCCAAACCTCGAATCTCCCGTCGCTTGTTATGACTGAATTGTAGCGAGACAAAATTGTGATGCAACTCTATCGAGATTTACAAAATTTGATTTCTGAAGGTAAAGGGTATCATATTTTTACTGACAGATTTTATACCAACCCCACTTTAGGTGCAGAATTTCTAAAACCCAATTGCGTTCTTACTGGAACAATTATGACCAACCGAAACGGACTGTTAGAACAAATAAAAAAAGCCAAAATTAGCTGTTGGACATAAAATCGCTTATAGAAAAGGAAACAAGGTGTGAAAAAGCGTGGTCACAATGTTTAGTACAAAACAATCTTCTATTTCACAACCTGCCAGAAAATCAATGACGATTGAAAATGCTAGTGAAAAAAAATAAACAAACGGACTATCACATTAGGTCATAATAAAAATATGGGTGCAGTAGACTTCACCGACCAGTACACAATATATCTGGGAATTAGAAAATTCATTGTGAACTTATACATTTTATTCAATGAATATTCATACAAAGAAAAATTTCAAAAAGATATCACACAAAATTTAGAGAAAATTTATTGATGAATCTAATTAAAGACTTTCGTGCTCCTACACAAAAAAGCCGGTCGATTGTCCACAGATGATACTATCCAATGTTTAGATGGGAAGACTCATTTTATTTTTGCTTATAAAAACACAAGAACTGTATGGTATGTTCCGAGCGGAAGGTCAAAGGAGGGAGGAAAAAAACATTTCTATTGTGATACTTGTGATAGGGAACCCGGGTTTATCTATAAGGATGTTTTAAAAAATATCATACTAAATTATAAAATTATATTGAATATAAATTAAGTAAAAATGTAAATATAAATTTATATTATTACCTACGCTTAATATATCGAAATTCTCAAGACTGACGCAGTATTTCTGCTAATCTGAAACACTAATTCCGAATTTAATTAGAGATGTATTTCTCATTCAATTAATTCAGTTCTCCCTTCGAGGCAAGGCAAAAATAATAAAAACACAAAATAGCTTTATTAAAAATTTAAAGGTAGAAAAACATAAAACACCAAATACAGTTTAAAAATTTTTTTAAAAATTTTTTACAATTAAAATTACAGTTTCTACGCAAAAACAAGCAATTAGGCCAACGGGGAAGAAGATATATTTTTAATACTAAAAATTAAAAGGAAAAACGTTGTGTTAACAGAAGTGTCCAAAAACCGACTGATAAACTGTGAGCTCAGAGACAGTAGAAAAAAATCAGTAAACCCTCTGGTCGACTTTAAAATCTATATGCTTTCAGACCTTTTCCCTCATTTTATTATGCTTATCGGTCCAGACGTATTCTGAAAACTTTGACACATGGCATAATCTCCTAAAAATGCGCCAATAAATACGAGGTTTAAAATCAGAAATAAGATAAATCAATAAAGACGGAAATAGAATTTACAATTATGGATGCAAATCATTGAGAGTCATGCTCCATTTCAACGGTAGCAACTCGATTAGCAAGGTGTATCTTCATCTACTTTGATTCACACAATAGAAAGTTCAATTTATCATGTATTTTCAGTTCCACCTTATGAAGTGGTACACCTAAGATCGGTGTCCAAGCGCAGTGCAGATGCTGAATCCAATGGAGAAATAAAACACGTTCACCTTCAGGCTTTCGGTCGCGATATGCAGTTGAATCTACATCGCAACGACGAGTTTGACGATCGTCTTAAATCGATGAAGATGTATCTAGCTGAGAGTACCAATAATGGCATTCAGTACAAGGAAATGCCTGAAGAGGTGAGTTACACATTGTTAGATTAAATAACCTAACTTTAGCTACTTAAAATAATACTACAGTGACTCTTTCAGCCTCTATTGATGGTTTCCCACAAAATTTCCAATATGACGTTTAAACATACTTATATTATTTCTTACCATGATGAAAGCTGTGACTTTTAAAATTAATTACAGTAAATTAATCCTTTTATTATTTACCGAGTTACAGTAAACTTAATCATTTTATTCCAACTATTACATTCTATTGATCAGTGTTAAATTCCTCTACATTAGGAAGCGAAGAGCTATTATTCAGCACATTTTAAAATATATACAAGGTCCCCAAGATTGGTGGAATTTCATGAAGTCTCTGTGAAGCAAGTATTATGCGAAATAGACTAAAAATGTTTTGACTTAATTCAGTCACTCGAAAAGTTAATAATTTTGAATACGTGCAGTATTAACAACACGGCAGACGTCTTAGCGGTTTTCATTTTTTCTATGACAAATTGTGTCTTTACTCGAGATTGTCACTATTACTAATTTCTTCATTCAAAATCTAATTTCTGCTACAGATTTCAGATAACGAACTCAAATGAGACAAGATGAAGGCTTCTTTCAGACCACAAAATATGTCCATTTTTGTAAATCTACCGTACTGTTATAATTCAACTGTGTTGCTATATTTCAACTCGTCTATTACGTTATTCTCAAAGTAGGGTGGTACATCTTGTTCAAAGAAGATCTAAAAATCATATTCTTCCATTTTTATGTTCAATTTGAAGAGGAAAAAACGATTTGCAGCTTTACCAGGTAAAACTTAAATGTGGTATTCCTTTCAATAGATCTTAGATGAATCTCAGTTGTGCTCCGGTTTCATTAGTCATGTGTCACGGATTGTTGCTCGCGTCATAAAAACGCAAGCAGGTAATTTTGACAGACTGGGTTCAAAAAACGTACCTTGAATTCCTTTTGCATAATGCATACTTACCATTAGATTATTATATAATTATTTCTAATTTATAGTGCCATATTATCATAACCATACTGCATTTAATTAGAGCTAACTCCAACTTAGGAAAAAACTCCGTTTCTTAAAAAAATCTCCCGAATTTTAGGGTACATTTCTTTATACTATGTTTTATTGCTCATGAGCGGATGATTTTATTTTCAGGATGATGATCCAGGCACAACATATCATGACCTGGAGCAGATGGCAGCGGTCACTATCAGGCAAGGCGCCGATGGGAAAATGCAGATGGTGAGGAGGACGTTTTTCATTTTCTACTGTTAACTGTTGTGGATTACAAATTCCGTAGAAGAACAGAAATTTAGAAACGAATTGTAAAAACGTAAAAGTGTTGTAGAGACCATTAGGATTTTTTCGATATCAGTCAACTGAAGAAATAAGAAATGCCCTCGCCGGGACTCGAACTTAGACTTCTCGAATAAGCGCCGAGTGTGCTAATCTTTATACCACGAAGGCATGAAAAAAGGAGGAAGAAACTACCCTCAACACAATATCCCTATAATGTTAAAAATGTTAAGCATATATATTAAAAAAGACTGTAAATGAAAATTACAATAAAAGAGTTATTTACATCATTTAATATGTAACGCTGCAGTTTGAAAGCTAACTTAATATTAGATACATAATTAACTACTTGCGCCGCATTATTAGTTTTGATACGTTGCAAGTAGAACTTGCTCTGGAATTTGTGTTCTGTTTGACATGATCGTAATTCTTGCTTGAAGAGTGTTGAGGGAAATGCTGTTTGAAACTCTTTCATATTTTTACAGCTATTGGTTGGAGAACACCAAGATATGATAAGATTTAGGAAAGCAGGAAATACTTCCTCGGGTATAAGTCTGACGAATAAGCAAGACTTTACGAAATTTAAACTTGTTTTACGGGCAAAAGTTGTTGAACGATACTGATCTTCTGACGCGTGATATTATTGTAAAGAAAAAATCGGTTACACTCTACTCCTTGTATACTTTATCTCTGTTTTGATATCTATTTTGATTAATGTATTTTCCGAAGTCAACTTTCCGTAATATACAGTTAAAATGAAGCAATAGTCCTTTATTCTTTGAGACTGGATTCTTGGCACAAAATTCTTTGTTGTCTTAGAAGAGAATAGTCTGGACCACTAGCCTAAATTCTTAATTCGACTTTTGAGACTGCCGATTTTCAGTCTGCATTTTTGTTTTTTTCTTTCAGAAACTATGAAGAAATACTCATATCCCTTCATTTGCAACAGTGTTACTCAGGGAGCCTGTTTTATTTTGCCTATGACAGCATGTTCTATAAAGTTATGCCATTGCACAAAATGACCCGACACATGTGACACGTGCCCAATTTGATTTGATTAATTTTGTTTTCTAAAATGGCTACCTAGACACATGCATCAATGTTCACGATCACATTCTTCCGTTAGTGTTTGATGTAAATTTTAGTTTTGCTTCCAGATTCATATTGGTTGTGTTTTAACTACTTTTCACTAATATTTTGCAAAAGGATACTTTAGGCTCTTTGAAGAAAGAGTTACGTTTCTAAAGCTGCAGATGAAAGATTTTTGAAACACAGCTATTTAATTGTGTTTGTTTAAATATTACTTTTTTCTTGTTTCTTAAATGTCGTAAGTCTTTTAATAGCAATAAGTTGTCTAATGGATTTCTCATCGTGTGTTCTCCGGGTTTCATCGTTTCGTAGAAAAGAAAGTGTAGCATGTTTATGTGTATATATGTTTATGTGTATATATGTTTATGTATACGTACAAATGTACGCATATTTTGCAAATATAATTCCCAGAACTATGTTGCCTTTGCCCTTCTCAATAAATAAATAAAAATAAAGACAAAAAATTAACATGTAAGTTCCTTCGTCTGCGTGCAGTACCAGAATCATCTTTTATTTGCATTGGTGGATATAAACATGCACTTACAAAAATGCACAGTTGATTATAAAACTCAGCAAGAAAGGCAAATGCTTAAAATTCAAACAAATTACATTGCCACTTTAGAGATAAATAGCAATGTAATTATAGAAAATTCTAAAAAACTGTAATTCGAAAGGCAGAGTTTAATATCTGTATGGGTTTTGATCTATGAGCTAAGAAGATCATGCAGTAACCGTACTGCGGGGGGGGGACTAATTCTTGCATCAATTTACTTGTTACTAACATCCTTTGTATAGTTTTATTGAGAAATCGACAAAGAATGTTAATAATTAATAATTTCTCGCAAGCATCAATTGAAAAGAAATCAATAATTGTTTTTTCCTGTTTATCTGTATATTCATTTATATACTCCCATGTTCTTATAATAACAAACATTTTATTTTTTTCAGGAAGGAACCATTGGCAACGATCTGGTTGTGAAACCTGTGCCAACGGCCATTTTGATCCCTGAAGATGGATTTGTTGACGATGAAATGTTCTTAGACGAAGACGAGAGCTATGAACGCACACGGAACAGCAGTCACCAGCGGAACGTTGCAAACGCATCCAGATCATGGCGACCTACTTCAACAACAAGAGCTGGTGCACATGTCATCTACAAAGGACAGATGATATCTAATGACTCGCACAGCGACTTCCGTAAGATATTTTTACATTTATCCGGCCCCATTTATGTTTATCGAAAGATCAAAAAAAATTGTATGTTTACCGAAAGGTCAACAAGATTGTTAGTTGCCTACATCGTGATTTAGAGCATGCCTATGCACATGACATTCTGAATGTAATCCTTAAAAATATTAAAAGAAATTACATAACGCGCCTTCATGCTTTTGAATTAGACTAACTGGAAAACTGGTTACTGACATAGCCTTAGCGTAACTATCTTGAATATACAGTAGCCTAGTTCCCTAATATCCATTTACTAACAGCAGGTATACTGATCTGTTTGATAGACATTTTCTCTAAGCACCATTGCATAATAAAACTATAATCAAGGAACAGAACTGTAATAAGGTTCAAAGATAGTTTCTTACTTACGGAAAGTGTCATATTATGACAATTAAATACGAATTCATCATAACAGATGTAATCAGTTAGCTTCAGATTAGCCGCGTATAAAAAAAATCTGCTGCCTTATTTGAAAATTGCTTTTCAAGAGCTCCAGTATGCATTCACGATTAATGTTAAAGAGCTTGTGTTATTTTAAACAATAAGATAACCTAATTGGTTTATAAGTTACTTACATCTGCCACTTCTGTCTCGTCCCTTCGCATACTATGTGTCGTGGTCCCTTCGCATACTATGTGTACTATCTCTTGTTACTTCCTTGTATGAAGTAAAAAGGAAGTATTGTAATCGCGAAAAGCTTCGAGCAGCATATTTCATCGAAAATATCTACTTTGACCGCTTTCGAATGCAATTTAACGATGTTTTTGCTTGATATCTGTGCGTAAGACAAATAAAACTTTTTCCTCCAGAAAAAAACTAAAAAAACTGCTTTAAATGAATCTGAGAGAATTTTTCGTGGCGTCTGTACGAACGTATACTACGTGCATACGTACGTATCTCGCATAACTCAAAACGAGTAGCCTCAGAACGTTGAAATTTTGTATATAAGATTACTAAAATGTAGATGTCACCTCGTATTTTGGTTCAATCGGCCGCGCCAAACGTATAAATATTTATAAATATATCCACTCTGTTACCCGGCTCAGTGATCTCAGTTTCTTATCTTATATGTTATAAATTGTACATTTTTTGCTTTAAAAATGATTGAATTATGTTGTTTTTATCTTCCGGTTAAGGGTTTTATGCCTTTATAAATCTGTATGCAATATTTTAGAATTATCAACAATTTTAAAATTTAAGTGCCGCTAAGCCTAATTTGATGGCGGCCATTGCTTTGTTTACATTTGAAACAGCTGAGTAGCGGATTTGTTGCCAATCTAGAGAAACTTAGCTTCGCAACAACAAACATAACGCCTTCATTTTATTTAAATCATGCTTAATCCCTTTCTGGAATTTTTCGAGGAAATAAGCGTTTAAGATTTACTTCGTAATTTTTAATACAGATTTTTTTTTTTATGTATTTTTGCCTTGTCGCGAAGTGAAACTGAATTAAACGAATGAGAAATACAATCGTCGTGAAAAACTGTTTTTTTTTTTGTTTGTTTGCTTAATTCTTTTAATACATAGTTCTAGCTTTATTATAGTATTTGAATAAACATGTGGCAACGATTAGATAATTCTTTAAATGATATAAATTTTGTGCATTCTGAGTTATAATAATGAACGAAATTAATACTGTTTAAGTAAACCTAGCGCCAGAGTGTCGCATGGTAAACAAGAGAATTTTAAAGAATGCATTTATTCTACTGTGTTTATGCGCTGTCGGCGAAGTAGGTTAAATTCAATCTAATAAGTTTAAATGAAATGCAAGAAAAATGCGTATAATTTAATATTCCGTACAAGGAAGTCATGTGGTGTACACATCAGATTTATTTTTGATTAAATTACCTAGAGTACAATTTTTACATGTTTATGTTTATTATATTTATGCTGCAATATTAATGACTGTATATAACAGAATAATTTATAAGTTAGGGGCAGAGAACATATGAGAAAGTTATAAGTATATTTAACTACACTTATTCCCTATGCACAATCCTACACTATGAAGGTGTCGCAGCACTTTTCTTCAAAAGAAGTTGTATGCCTTCAGACATTGGTCCATCGTATGAACAATCTACGAATGCCGTCCATGAGAAATTTTGAACGTTGGCTTTCGAACTATTGATGGACGGCAGCTTTCACCTCAATATCTGAGTGGAAACTTTGACGTTCCGCAGCGAAAACTTTGTCGCAGGCATGGAAAATCTCAATCTCTAAGTACACTTTTTTTTCAATTCGAGCAAGCTGTACAGCTTAACCGTCAACCACTACAATTTCTACAAAACTCGCTACCGTAACAGCAACACTTCGATACTCTTGGACTAATTTCCTGAGAAACTGCATTTGGCAATAAAAATTTTGCCTACTTTTGCTTATTAGTATACTGAACGTATTCACTTGATTACTGTAAAAATGCGCAGAAGATGTTCCTCAAGAAGATGCTGGGTCTATCAGTATGCTGACAAACTAATCCAAGCTAATAAAATACTTTAAATTAATTATAAACAGCCCCATATAAGAATTATCATATAATTTAATTACATTTATTATTACAGACTGTTAGAAGTGCCGTTTATCTTAAAGGATAGATAAGTCTATGAGCACAGCTTTCAAAATCTTCTTTAGGAGGAAGTTACACTGAGAACTGCTTGGCTACGAGCGAAACACTCCAAGTCAATAGACATTTACTCTGTTACATCTTCTGCGAGGCTAAACAATTAGGAAATTTGGTTCTTGTTTCTCTTAACTATCCGCTTGAAAACGAGAAAGGAAAATTCCAGTGACATTTTCATCTGATTTATATAAACTAGAGAAACTTTCAATCCATTTTTATCATAGAAGATGTAAGAAACAAACACGCATATAAATCGTTTTTCCAAGTTTAAATAGAGCAAACACTCGTTGATTTATAATTTTTTCCGAAATATTTATTTCTAGTTCCTTTGGATTCCGTTCGTGGTCATTTCGGCTGGACTGGAGCCGAGAGTCGTTCAAGATCCACCTATGGAAGACGGATGCGGAGGGCTTTGGTTCCAGCCTCCGTGTGGCCTGAAATTTTGTTGCTGGTGGATTACGGAAGCTTTGTCTTGCATGGTCTGAGCAGCAGGCACATCAAAAGATACTTTGTGAGTTTCTGGAATGGGGTGAGTATAAGTCATAACTATGGCAATCCGTGATAAAGTGATGATTACAGCAGGCAGGTAGAAAGGGAGAGACTTCACAATGGATCCCACAAGTAACGCCCTAGCACACTAACCGTCTTTAGAATGAACTCCACCATGGGTCCTTAATACATTGCAGAGTTTGAATGTAAAAATGATAATTATAGTAGGAATCCTACCACGGGAAGCAGAGGAAAAGCAAAATTCGCGAGGTGGTCGCAGTATAAATAGTAAATGTTCGCAAAATTTTAGATGCCTATGATATTTACATTAACAATTTTGCTCAAAAGGATTTACATTAATATTTCTGTAAGGAGCTAATGTACCAGAAACGAAGTCCTGTATATTCGGAACCCGATGAGTAGACATTCCGTGTAACTCGACGGTCATTCTTGTTTAATCGCTAAATGATTTATGTTGCTCAAGCAGAACATTATCTTTGAAATAATGAGATGACTTATGAATAGCCAAATATTTCTAACATCACTTACCGTGTCCAAACAGCGTAAGAGCATTTTAATTACTATATCACTCTATTCACTTACAGTACATACTTACGCCCATGATTTGCGGTTCTATTTAAATATTTGTAATAGCATTCTAATTCCACTACTTTTGTCTCTTTCTTTTTGTGACACTATTTCTTAAAACCTATAAAACTACACCAGTTTTTTGTGGGGGGAGGGGGAGTTACAATCTACCACATTCCTACTTACAGTTAAGAAGTTTTTTTAACCGTAGAAATTTAGGTAGTAGTGGATTACCACTTACATTTCTCCTGCCTGTTGCTAACTGTTTGTTTGCAGGATAGCCTACAGATTTATGACTATAATCTATAACATGTTAAACATTCAGTTTCTTCTAGTAGAGCTTCTCAATTTATCCAGGCTTGCAAGCGTTGTGTTGTGTTGTCAGTGCAAGTGAAAATATGAAAAAAAAAAAAAAAAAAAAA